TCAAAAATCAATGCTCCCACCAGTTCTGAATGCAATTCCTTCTCGTACCTCCCCAATCGAAATAAGATAACGCCGAAGAGAAAAAATTTTTTTTTCGCGTGAAAATTTTTCAAGTGTTGCACGTGGTATACAATAGGCAGCCCCTGCCGGCATACTACAGGGATGTGAAGAGAGAAAGAGGGGCGCATGTGCATGGGCCAAGTGTATGGGTGAAACGTGTCGTTCAAATGGGGAGAAAAAAGAGAAGAGTGCGAGAGAGAGAGAGAGAGGGGAGAGTTGGTGTATGCCTGGAGACAGCTGTGGGGCAGCTGGCAGCGCGTGCCACAAACCTATGGGGTCTCCAAGCGACTCCTCTCTGCCCGAACTAACTGTCGGGGGGTATCTTCGGATTATTCAATGACGATTTAACCACGAAAACTTGATATTCCCCGTATATTCCCTCCTACATTCCCGGGTCAGCAGTTTTTCGTAAATTTTTTACTCTCCGGAGTGAAAAATAAATCCCGACTATGAATTTTGGCGCGGAAACGGGCGAGCGGATTTCGTATTTATCGAGATTCTTTATTTTCAATGATTTATGGGGAAAATTGGGGAAATAAAATTGGGGGNGGGGGGGGGGGGGGGCTGGATGGAGGTGATCTTAAACCGAATAACCAAACATAAGGTCGAGTTTTTCTTTTCTCGGTTCGTTGAACAGCTGCCATCGGGTGTATGCCCGAAACGATAATTCCAACAGCTGATGTTCCTGCCGAGCGTATCGAGACCGGCATTCACCACACACGGGCCCACGGACTCTTTAATTTTTGTTTTGTGGGGTATGAAGGAGGATGAAACTGTTTTGTTTTATAGTTTTTAAAAGGGGTTGACAATGTAACAGAGAAGGAATAAAAAGGCCGTTCTGTTTTTATGTGGTTTCTATATTTATGCATTCTTTGGAGTAAATGAATAGTCGACAGCTAAAAATGTTGGGGATTGTGGCCCATTTATGAGGATTCATTGGGAATCAGGCGTTGTTAAGGGGAGTTATGCGATCATGACGTCACAGAGTTTGCGTCGGGTTCCTGATTGGCTGTGGTGAGGGCGCGCTGTTTCTCATTGGCTGGGACGCTGTAGAGATTAGGTTAGGCTGGCCTGAATACATTTTGTGATTGGTTCAACGCTCTTCAGACTCTCTGACGTCATGATAATTTTGAAAGCTTTTCGATTGAAAACGTTCCATTGGGGTCATAATTTTGAAACGACTTTCTTTTATTCATTTGTCGTCTGTTATATGCTTTGACAATGATAACTTAATGAATAATAATAGGATACTCATACAACTTTTACTGAACAAAATTGTCCCTTATGATGAATCTATCCGAGGCAAGGTTTGTACTGTTGCTTTTGCATTGAAAAACTTTGGGAAGGTTTTGATCATTGTGAATATTGGCAGACAGATTTCAACGGGGATAGAGGGGCACGTCTGGATGGTACGAGACGAGTGTTACCGTTTGGCAAGAATAGAAACGAGAAACCAGAGACGGGGCCAGTAAGAGGTAGTTTATAGATTTTACGTCGCGACGTAAGTGTAAGATACAATCCATACAAATCGACTTTGATTTTTTTTAAAGACGCTCAACAGAAGTAATTGAAAACAGGGATATTATTTGACGGATGCACAGAAGTTAATTGCGTCAACAAGCAATGTAACAGATGATGAAAAAAATTCCATAAATAAAATGTAATACGACTTTGAAATTTTGATTAATTGTATATAAGGTATTAATTAAGTTTCATCTCTAAAGGAGCACAAGGAAAAAAATTGAGATAATTTCGAACAAAAAGATTCTTGTATTGTTCTTGACTAGATCTGTGCGCGCGCTTTCACGCGCGCTTATCTTTTTGTTGTGAAATTGAAGAAATCGAATTTATTAAACTTCATATACTCATAGATGCTTTATAAATATTGCTAATGACTTGAAGAGAATTAAGAGAATGAAGAGTGAAACATCAATGAATAATTTTTAATTTTCGATTAATTCTTTTCTTTACTTTTTAAAATAATCTGATTGAAATCTGTAATTGTTGAAAAATGAGGGGAGGGTTATGAATTAATTTCCCTGAAAACTGAAAAAATTTCTTGAATTCTTCGGAAAATTCCACTTTTTCAGATAACCGTAGCTTTTCAAAGTTTTTTCTCTTCAGGATTTATAAGAGGGAAATGTTTTGAAAAAATATCAATATTTTGCGAAATTGCATTTAGATAATACTGACTGGGTATGAATTTTTTCAATTTTTTTGAATGCAATTCAGTTGAAAAATTAAAAAACTGAAAACATCCAAAAGTACAGCGTAGCCCGGCCGAAGGATAGAGCTACTTTAAAGCGGATAGTATTTTTTTTGCTAATCAATTAGTACTATGCTTCAGAATATTTTTTTGCACATTATCTGCTTCTACAGTACATACTTGATTTTTCATACAATTTTATTAAATTCAAATTTTTATTGAGCACTTTGCCGACAAAATGTCTCTAAAAATCGCAAAAAATAGGACGCAGTGTTTTCCATTGTCATAATAATCCCCAAGTAACAAAACTTACCGACGAAAATGGCTTCGAAAATATAAAGCACACGTGGTAAACGGGACAGAAGCCCCCTGGGATAGGTCCTCCGTAGACTGCGTCGAGTTGGAGGAAAGAGCAGAGAGAATTGAAAAAAAGGGCCGAGTGAAAGAAAAAAAATTGTACGAAAGCGAGCAGAGGGTTAGGGGGGTAAAACTGTACAGTGGGGTGGGAGTGAAGGAGACTTCTGGATTCTAGCCAATGAGAATCACCGCCCCAGGAGGCACTGACGAACCAGGCGCTCTCGACCCTGCAGCTGCGAGTGTTCAACGGCATTCGCACGTGGATCTTTGTCCGTGACGGTTGTTTTTGCTAACGCGCGCGTTATCATCAACAAAAATCCAAAAAAAATCGTGCGCTCGTTATCTAGAAAATTTTACACTTTATTTATATTTATTGATTTAAATAGATTCAGCTGGATAAGTGAAAATAACCAATTTTTTTTCACCTAAATAAGGAACATTTCTCAACGAGTCTGGCGCGTGAAACGTAACGCCTGTGCCTCAAGCTAAATTTGTTCCACGAATAAAACGAAAAAGAGTAAAAAATAACAAGAAAAGTGCCTCTGGGATTTTATTTACTCGCAAATAATTGGATTAGTGTGGAATTATTTCTACTCCAACTGTCTCGTTGTGATTGGAAGCGGTGAATTTAGGTAAGTGATGGGATCGTATTTGTTTTCTGAGTAACAAAGCCGATGAAAACAATGTCCGATCTTCTTTTCATTCCCCCGGAAAGGATAATTTCGTTGATCACACGAATCACAAAAGCACATTTTTGTTTCTTTTATGCATGAACGAGTAGTTATTCATTCCTGGTCATGATTATTCATAACTAATGTCATTATTCATGATTTTGTGGGACAAATCGTGTTGACAGTGTAGAGAAAATGCGGGGATTGGGCTCTGACGAAAAAAAAAACAAAAGTGACTCAACATGTCGTCATAGGCTAATTATTCGGGGCGAACAAATTCCAAATGGAAAATCAATTCGACTCGAGGGTAGTCGGGACATTTTCAATAATTTTCGCGATTGAATGAACATTTTCCATTCGATTCGAAATTTATTAACGTTATCCCACTTCTCAAGTACTCTATCACGATTTCAAGGAGTTCAGAGGCACATGCGTAGCTTCTGATGTTTATTAATAAACTTGAACTCCTCTGATCCTCGAATTTCTTCGATATAACCTCAAGAAATCTCGGGGAAATTTACGAAAAGTTGTGTTGCCTTTCTAGGGTGAACAGGCCAATTGCTGGACAGTTAAGGGGAATTCGAGGTTCGTGGTAGGATCTAAAATAAAAAATCCCCTAAAGGGGAATATGATGGCTTCCATAAGGGACAGTGGGGTAAAATGGACACATTTGACTTTTTTTTAAATGTTAATGACAAGTTGAATTGTTGGTGGAATGTTTTTTTTTATTTTTCAATGAAAAGAACAATTCTTTCCCTTTGTGTTGAGCCTAAACTGGTTTCAATTGATAAATCTGTCTCTGAGTTATAAATATTTCTTTAAATATCATAAGTGTCCATTTTACCCCACCCTCCCCTACCTTCAAGAATGTGTCAATTATCAGAAAAAATTTATTTCATTTATTTCAGACTGGTGGGCTATTTTTTTTATTTACTAAATGTCGATCAAAAGAAAAAAAAAAGATCACATGATTATAAAACGAGTAACATTATTGAAAATCGAAATAATCAGTACAATTTCCGTTTTATTATTTATGGAATATTCAATGGAAGTAGAAATCGTTCAGAAACTAAGCCCCATCCCGAAACTGGCCTGTTTACCCTAGTTGATGAATAAAAGATTTGTGAAGAAATCTATTTTCTGTTTATTTATTGGCGTGGTATGGACGCTTTGCAGTCGATAAATTCGACGGTTTTCTGATTTTCCCTGGAAATAATGGGGGAGGGTGGGGTAAAATGGACACTAGACTTTTTTAAAATTATTCATAACTCAGAAACAAATTCATTGGTCCAGACAGACCTCAGTATGATTCAACCATTTTCAATCATCAAATTTGTCAATTAAATTGCGTGAGAAAAATTTGAATATTCAGCGGCATTCAAATTACATTTTGCACAGAATTATCATCTTTTAACATTTATTGTTCATGAATAAATAATTGAAATTGTTTAAACCATCGGAAACCTTTTTTTTAGACATAAAACCGGCTTCTGGTAAAACTCTGAATATGAATGAATTTATTACGATTCCGAACAAATGATTTTTATGGTGGAAAATTGATTGTTTATAAATTTTTCATAGAAAATGCTCATAATGTTCGAAAATTGCAATTTTTTAATTATTTCGTCAAACTTTCTCCAAAAGTAAACTTTCTATTTTCTTTCAAATTTTTACAATGTTTTCTAAGAGCTCAATATCGAGATTCAAATTCAGACCTATAAAGTTTAAATAATAAAATCATTGTAAAATATCCGGAAAGTTAGGGTCAAATGGGGCTAATGAACGCTCTGATGTTCCACTACAAAAGTAGGAAAGCATTCCACTGGAGAATAAATAGCCAAAATACTTGAATGTTGTTAGGGATATCCAAGATCTTTTACAGTTTGGTGTATTTTAAATTATTCTCATCGTTTCAGTCACTCAATCGTTTTCAATCATCTAATTTGTCAATTAAATAGCGTGAGAAAAATTTGAATAAAAATCGTGACTTTTCAGCGTCATTCAAATTACATTTTACACAGAATTATCATGTTTTAACATTTATTATTCATCAATAAATAATTAAAATTGTTCGAACTTCCTGAAATTTCATTGTTTTAAGCATGAAATCAACTTCTGGTAAAACTCTGAATATGAATAAATTTATTACGATTCCGAACAAATTATTTTTATGGTGAAAAATTGATTGTTTATAAATTGTTTATAGAAAATGCTCGTAATGTTCGAAAATTGCAATTTTTTAATTATCTCGTCAATCTTCCTCCAAAAGTAAACTTTCTATTTTCTTTCAAATTTTTACGGTGTTTTCTAACAGCTCAATATCGAGATTCAAATTCAGACCTATAAAGTTTAAATAATAAAATCATTGTAAAATTTCCGGAAAGTTAGGGTCAAATGGGGCTAAAATGATCGCTCTGATGTTCCACTACAAAAGTAGGAAAGCATTTCACTGGCTCTTAGTTGAGTTTTCGAGGAATATCTCCCAATTTAAGGGAAATAGCGAAATTTTTGTAATGACATTTTTTGTGGAGTGAATTGAGAGCTACAAAAAAGGTCACAACCGAAATTTTTCTATCTGCCTTAGATTCCGAGATATTCATTGAAAACTGACCAATTCTCAAAATTGACTTGAAGCGTTTTACCGCTTAGCTAAACTGACAGAAAAAACTACCATCGATAAACGTATTCATCTCCATATCAACTGATCCATGAGTTTTTGAGATACAGCGATTACTTAAAAATCTTTTTCTCTCAATATTTCGAGAACTTCTCTACTAAATAGAATTTTTTGAGGCGCATACATTCCTCATGATAAGATTTGTCGAATACGGAACTAGGGAAAGCTTCACAGTAATTAGCATTTTTATTTTTTGTCATAAAATCGATGTATATACAATCTCTAGAGATATGAAGTTCTAAATGTACTGCCATGTCGACCATTATCGTCACCATCACCACTGTCATTATGTTCCATTTCAAGGACGCCATGACAAAACAAACATTCGTCACGTGGCCAAAACAATTTTTTTAGTTCATATTCGTCAGAGAAATTTATTTCGGTCTAGTGACGAAAAATATTATTTCCAAACTACACTATTAAAAAAATTTTTCATTAAAATTTCCAGTAAGAGTCTTGGAAATTTCCAACAACTAACATTTCCACTGAAATTTCAAGGCATTTTGTTATTGGAAATTGATTATTGCGGAAGCATTAATGGAAAATCAGGAAAATTCAGAGAAATCTCTTTTTAAATGCCAGATTCATATGAATTTTCACGAAATTTTTGAAAAAACTTTATAGGCTCATATTCACCAGAAAAATTTATTTCGGCCCAGTGACAAAAAAAATATTTCAAAACTACACTATTAAAAATTTTCCACTGAAAATTCCAGTGATAGTTTAGAAATTTCTAGCAAGTAACATTTCGACTGGAATTTCAGGGAATTTTGTTATTGAAAATTCATTATCACGTGGAAAAAATTGCGGGAACTCTAAATTTCAGTTTAATTATTCCGGAAAAATTAATTCAAATTCCGGAAAAAAGGTTTTCCAGCTCATATTCATCAGAAATATTATTTCGAAACTACACTATCAAAAATTTTCCACTGAAATTTCCAGTAAGAGTCTTAGAACTTTCTAACAAGTAATATTTCCACTGAAATTTCAAGGAATTTTGTTATTGAAAATTCATAATTACGTGGGAAAATCCACGGGAACTGTAAATATCAGTTTAATTAGTCCGGAAGAATTAATTAAAAATGCAGAAAATTTAGAGAAATCTCACTTTAAATGTCAATTTCCTCTGAATTTTCTCGTAATTTCCGAAAAAAAATTCTAGCTCATATTCATCAGAACAATTTATTTCTGCCTAGTGACGAAAAATATTATTTCCAACCTACACTATTAAAAATTCTCCCCTGACATTTCAAGGAATGTTGTTATTGGAAATGCATTATCACATGAAAAAATCCGCGGGAACTGTAGATTTCACTTTAATTAGTCCACGAGAATTAATTAAAAATGCAGAAAATTTAGAGAAATCTCTCCAAAAAGCTTGAAATTCCATTGACTTTTCCCCCTAAATCTAATTAAATTTCTCTTGCCGTAAAATTCTGCAAAATTTTCTCAACAGTGTACTCGTCCTCTTTCAGTACTCAACCAATTTTCCTACCACTATCTCCCCGGAAAATATTTTCCCCCGCTGCATTCGTCATTCGTTGATGCCCTCTCCTCAATCCCCCCGGGTTTTTGTTCAACGGGTCGGGTTTAGCCGCACGAGTAGCCCCCATGTGCTCTACCTGAAACTCCGCAAGAACTGCGAGACTACCGTATAACCCCCGTGTACACTGTACACAATGATTTTCATAATAATAATGGTGGTACGTTTGTGCACCGGTTACTGCAACGGCATAGGACGCTCCAGCTGCCATCACACATTTTTCCTTTCTGTTGTGGGCCCCTAAAACGTTGTTGGGTGTCCCCTTCTCCCCCCCCCCC